TGAAATTATTGTAGAATAAGTCATTCCTAATGCAAGATTTTTGTTTTATAATGTGGCTTCGCAATTCATGTTAGGCTCAATAATCTTACTGTGTTGTCAACATTGGGAAGGATAATATAGGTATTATTTGCTGAATGAATAATAAAGTGAAAGAATTAGTGGATGGTAGTATAAAACAACAGATGATATATTGTTAAATTTTTTAAATGGCATTGAAGTAGAGTTAGTCTAAGAAGGTAATATTTTAGTTGAAATATAATTGACACATGTTACATTAGTTTCAGGTGTACAACAAAGTGATTTGAAAAATCTATGTTATGCTATGCTCACCATAAGTGTAGCTACCATCAAAGAAGATCATTTTCAAAAGCACTTGTCACTTTTTTTTCCCTTAAGAAAAAGAGTTTTTACACTCGCCTTGATTCTTATATCCCAAATAAAATAAAGAGCAGGCTGTGTGCTGTTTGACGAGGGCTCTACTTCCATTTCTCCACTAATGTCTTGTTTACTTTGTTGGGTCTGGGACTTGATTTCACCCTCCTTGCAGGGGACTCGGTTAGCTTGTTAGTGTTTCATGGATGCTGGAAGAAGAAATGAGATTCTTCAGTCAGAGACAAAGAGCTTTCTTACTCAAGATATAACAAGCAGCATGAACATCACCATATTTACAAGCTTATATTGCCTCAAATTCCATTTATAGGAAATGACCCAGATGCATGCTACACACACACAAAGGATTTCCGTATCAGCTAAGGTACACTAAGCCTGTTGAATCCATTGCTTTTATTTTACTTTTTGTTTGCAATCAGCTTGCTCTTTGACCCACCTTGAGATATTACCACATCCTGCTACAAACATAACCCTGAGAAATAGCTCAGGAAAAGAAGCATTAGGACCTTGAATTCTGACACATCCAGAAAGACCTTCAGGAGCACTGAAGAACCAAGGAAGATTCTCTCTCCCAATATATCTTGTGGTAGTTTCACCTTCACATTGACTTCTCCCATTGGATGTTATCAATATCTATGGGGGGTAATGATATTGCCCCTGACAGCTTTCTGGGAGGCTCTTAAGCTTCCCTGTGGTTGGACCGTATACAAATTAATCACTAGAGCTGGGGGAATGTCCTTGACTCAAGCCTAGGTTTTGTACCCATTCCTGAACTAAGCTCTGTGTTACAGAGAAAAGATTACTCTGATTGTCTTAGATCAACCAGCTTATCTGTGCTGCTGGGGTGGGAGGATCAATTTTACTGAATCTGGTAGTTACTGCCCAATGGGGGACAGGCAAGATGTTAGGGAGACAGGCACGAAATATTCCATATGGTCTCTAAGTGGTAGAATTCAAGAATTTTGCTCTCTTCCAGATATTTTTCCAAGTCAAATGAAGTAAGAAAAAAAGAAAAGAAATGAGAACTCTTTGACTCTCTCTTCTACACCTTTATTCTGGGAAATCATATCTAGTCTTTCATTCCACTCATAATGGGCACCAGTTTGGCATCAAGAATTGTATTAGACCTGGGGATACAATTTCCAATAAATTGGGGACATCTGCTAATCTCACAGGGTTAATAACCTAGTGTTGGGTTCAGACAATTTAAGAGACCATTCAAATGAGAGGGAAAGTGCAGAGTGATGGCAGCACATGGAAGGAATACCTGTGGGGGAGGAGGGTTAGGAAAGGCTTCCTGGAGAATGTGACCTGTAATCTGAGGCCAGAAGGATGAGTAGGACTTATCAGGTGATCTATGTGTAGGGTGGACTAGATAGCTTAGAAGAATGACTTAGCAGATAGAACCAAAAAAGCAGGTTATAGAAAGGAAAAATAGTTCTGTGTGTCTGAGTCATAAAATTCAAGGTGAGAGATGAGGTGGGAGAAGAAGTGAGGAATGGGGGGCAGAATGTGTTCTCTATGCAAAGGAGTTTGGGCTATTCTGAAAGTCCTTGAAGACTTTATTATTATTTTTTTAAACTTTTTTTTCATGTTTATTTTTGAGAGAGAGAGAGAGAAGGAGAGGGAGAGAGAAAACAGGGGAGGGGCAGAAAGAGAGGGAGACACAGAATCCAGAGCAGGCTCCAGGCTCTGAGCTGTCAGCACAGAGCCTGATGTGGGGCTCGAACTCACAAACCACGAGATCATGATCTGAGCCAAAGTCAGAAGCTTAAGGGACTGAGCTACCCAGGTGCCCCAGCCCTTGAAGACTTTAAACAGAGGAATAAAACAAGATAAATGTTGCATTTTAGAAATTTCACCCTTGCTTAAAGTCAAAAATGAATTGAGGGTGAAACAAAGCTGGGACAGATTAGTTAGGAGATTGCTGAAACCAGGGCCAGAGATGGAAATAACCACAGTAGTGGGAATGGAGGGAAGGGGCAGATTTACATTCTACTTATAAGTTGGATCCATAGATCTTAATGAGCAGTTGGATATAGGAGATGTGCATTAGGGAATACACAAATCGTGGAGATAGGATGGCAATGATAAGAAGAGGCATTTTAAATTCAGGCAGGCAAAGGTTCAAATCTCTACCATGTAGAATCTAAGACTGAGTTAATTACCAGTAAAAGGGAGACACTGATAACTACCTAGCATGGTTACTTTGAAGATAAATAAAATACTCTATGTCAAGGTCCTGACCCAGATTAAATCTTCACATTAAAGCAATATTTGAGCCCCCGGTTGTCTGGAGGAACTGGTTGGTTGGATGGAGAAGCTATTCCTCCAGTTAGCAGATAGGAGTGTACCTGCTGCAAGTAGGGATGAACTGGACCTACAGCAGGTTAAACAAATAGGGTCATTTTTCTTGCACAGTAAGGAAACTGGAGGTGCACAACTATTGGCATTAATTTTATCAGCACTGGAGTCTTTGCAGTTTTCTTCAGCTTTACCTCATGGTCACAATATGGCTACCCCCGTTCCAGCCTCCAGCATCACATTTACATTTAAGTCAGGGTTGAGGGGAACCAGACATAAGAGAAAGGTAATAAGTTTGCCGATTATCCTGAGATGGGAAACACAGGAGGAAAAGCAGAATTTGGAGGAAAAAAAAGGAACTTGATTTTGAGTATACAGAGTTTTAGGTTTCTGTGATAGGTTCACATAGAAACAGGTTTAATGAGCAGTTGCATATATTGGCCTGGAGTTGAGGAATTGTATCTGAGATTGAGGGGGAAGGTTAAATTCTATGGGGTGAATGAAAGAAGCCATAGAAAGGATGTAAAGTGAGAAAAGTAGATGGGGACATAGCCCTGGAAGAGAACACACACATTTAATGAATTAGTAGAGGCTGAGGACTACCCAAGGCCAGAGAAGAGTGGCTAGAGATGCAAGAGGAAAGAGCGTGTTGTGTCCTCGAATCGAAGCCCAAGAGAGAAGACAATCTAAGGGGGACATGGTTAATAATCTCAAGTGCTCACAAAAGCAAGGAGGTAGTAAGTGATCTTGCCGATAGTTTTCCCTCTTGTGGGGATAGAAGCTAGACTGAACTGGGTTGAGGAACAGGAGGGACACGAGAAGGTGGAAAAAGAACATGTAAAAAGTTCTTTTTCTTTTGTTCTCAGAAGTCATACTTTAGGATGTCACTTATAAAATTATATTTTTTCAAAGAAAGACTTTGGGGAAGCCAATTCACCTCTCTGAAGAGAATCAAACTTGAGATGCCTGTCTGGTCCTCATGCCCTTCAAAGGGTCTCTTTGAGAGCCAACAGTCTCTGGTTATGTTGTCTTCCTTACCCTAGTAAGAAAGCACAAACAAAATCACTTGACACGTTTGGCTTCTGGGGAACAAGGCTGTATGGATGTTCACTGCACAGTGCTTCTTAGTACTGAAACAGGCAGAGCGTCTGGAAGTCGATTTTGTTTGGTACCACATGTAACACAAATTACCGTTCCCTACAGGGATGAATGTCATGGAAAATAAAAACATTATGGGAAAATAAAAATGTTCCATTTGTACGATTTTTGGTAGATTATATTCAGATTTTAAAACATTGAAATCAACTTTTATTTTGGACCACCCAGACTCAGGAGAAGTGATGAGGGATTATAAAAATAAGAAACTTGTAGGTGACATTGTATGTAGTTGGCTATTTTGGTTTAAGAAGTTTCCTTCCTGCTGAACAGGGAAGAAAATGAAACGCTTATTTAAATTTAAAGCAATCCAAACCATTCAAGAGCGCTGTTAAAAGAATATAATTTCCAGGGGGAAATCTTTCCCCTCACCTTTTCTTCTCCTCCTTCTCCCTCTCCTCCCCCACCCCCCCAACCAAATCCTCCGGCTCTAAAATGTATATACCCATCTGATAGTTCAAAAAAAGCACTTTTCAGAGTAGGAGGTTTTGAGGGAAAAACTCAAATGTTTTGCTTTCTTTTATTTCCTCTTGTGGGATTAGTTCTGCAGGCCGTAGACAGTAAAAACTTAGAAAAATAATAATTTCACCCACTTTCACTCCCTTTTGTCTGTTTCAAACGTCAATGTGGTTCTTCTTAAAACATTTATTTGAGAGAATGGAATTGTCTAGTAGTTGAGTTCTCAGAGCTCATATTGGGAGATGACACTCGTGGCATTAAAACCTTCACGTGTTCTCTACTATTTATATGATTATTTAATGAAAGTTTTTCAATCATTCTTTAAGTGCTGGCATTAAATGTGAATGCTAGGGAACTCTTGCTCCACCGCCCCAAACCCGCCCCAAAAGAGGACCTTCTGCGGTGAGCGAGTCTCCTTCCCTTGCTTGAAGTGGGCTGAACAAAGGAGCGTGACGCAAAAGTGGGCGGTGTCCTCGATGCCAGGGAGCGCTTCTGCCTCCTTGTGAATGATCCTATTAGCTGCGCTAGTTCGCGGCAGCGGCGGCCGGGACGGCGGCCGCAGCAGGAGCTCTGCCTTTGCGCTCCCTAGACCTGCCTCCTTGGAGGCGCCTGGGGCTAAGCACACATCTCAACCCCACGGAAGCCTCGTCTGTCTTTTCAGGCTCTTCATGCTACCCAACTAAAAGGAGAAAATGGGCACGGGGGATTTTATCTGCATTTCCATGACCGGAGGGGCGCCCTGGGGGTTCAGATTGCAAGGTGGCAAGGAGCAGAAGCAGCCCTTACAAGTTGCTAAGGTAGGACCTCCGAAGAGATGTTATCACCGCTCTGTGCTGGGAGGGAATGAAGGCAACCTGTTGATGGTTTTTTCAAGTGCTGATTCAGAAGGTTATGTATTGGTCTGATTTTGGCGCTGATGCTAACTTTTCCCAGGATGCGGGTTTGTTCTTGTTTCGAAAAAACTTTCGAGTAACATATAGCATATATACAATTAACCAGTAATTGAAAGAAAAAAAAAAAAAAAACAAGAGTGCCATATTTATCAGCTGAAGAAAAGTCTAATTAATCAGCTTCTCTGACAACCGGCAAGACACTTGGGAAGTTTCTTCTAGGCAATATAGAATATGCAGCTGCGTTATTGTTTCATGTTACTTTACTTGGTTCTGGCAGAAGAGAAATGCTCAGCTCAGCATAACCAATTAGCTTGGCTTTGGGGGACTCTTACAAAGCGTTGGTAGTGACATTTACAATACAGCATTTCTTAAAAGGCCAATTTGGGGCAATAATTTTAAATATATGATGAAATGTCATAAAATCTATTTGAAAGAATATTCTCTTAAGGGTTTTACAAATAAATCTACCATCATGTGTACTCACCTAGTTAAGTGCTCAAAATAAAATTCAAAGACATTAGAAATATATTGTAAGTAACTTATAGGAAACTTTGAAATGCATGTAAAAATGATTTTAAATGTTTTTGTTTCCATCATATTGATTGTTTCTTGCTACCAGTTTGCTGGAAGGGATCCGATATAGTTTACATTGGGATTCAGATAAAATAAGCTTTAAAATGCATGAAATTAATGCAGACTTTTACCTGATTTGGATACCAAATTGTAGTATTGTATGAAAAACATGTTTGATTAATTTCCTCTTTATAATTATATTAAAAATGGATCTAGAACTTTATGAAATATGTGGACTACTGGCCTTTGTAGTTATTCTTTCTCTTGGCTTTGGCTTTTTTTTTTTTTGCTTTTTTTTTTTTTTTTTTATGTTCACTCTGAGGAAAGGAGCTTCTTTGAAATTTTCTGCTCCCAGGCTTCCATCGAAAAATCCTTTTGTAATGTGATGGTGGAATCCTGCCACCTAGTGAAAATTTCAAACATCAAGAATGAAGCATAAGACAGAGGGTGAAAAGCAGAATTTTTAGAACTGGAAAGTTTCTCAGAGACTTCCAGTTCAACCTGCGGAGTTTAGATAAGAGCCCAGAGAGTTTAAGTAACTTTCCTCTGCTTTAGACTAGCAGTGATCGAAGAATCCGGAAAGGAGGTTTCGTTGTGTTGCTTTAGGAGTCCATGGCAGGAAGCATCAGACAAAACAGTAATGACAAATTTGGAGTATGCAGAATTCATGACACTGAACTGGAGTTGTTCTGAGTCTAGAATAGCAGTTGGCTGGCTCCAGTTACTGAGATTTGGGTTCTAATTCCAGCTCTGATCTAACTTGTAGCGGGCCTGTGACAAATCTCTCACCCTTCCTGACTCATCTGTTGTGAGGTGTTGGGGGGTGGGGGGAGAAAGAGGCAAAAATTTTGAGTGCTGTACAAAAAGAGAGAAGAGGAAATTGTACTCTACCATCAGTGAGGTTCTAATATTGCTCTAGTTTTACTGTCCTAATAGTATGCAACTTTAGAATCACTTGCCTCCCAGTTAAAATGTAGGGACAAAGGTGGCTAGATGCTGTTATTCCAGTAGTTCTTCTGTGGCCAGACCTTAAGAATGGGTTGGGTATTGGGCTTCTCCTGAGTCTGCGATGTGCTTGTTTCAAAGTGGACCTATTGTCCCTCTCTCTCTGCCCGTCCCCTGCTCACACTCTGTCTCTCTTTCTCAAAAATAAATAAACATTAAAAAAAATTATTAAAAAGGGAGGTTACCTGAGTGGCTCAGGCGCTTAAGTGTCTGACTTCAGCTCATGTCATGATCCCATGGTTCCTCTGTTAGAGCCCCGCATCGGGCTCTGTGCTGACACCTCAGAGCCTAGAGCCTGCTTCGGATTCTGTGTCTCCCTCTCTCTTTCTGTCCCTCTACTGCTCACACTCTGTCTCATTCCCTCTCAAAAATAAATAAGCATTAAAAAAATTCAAAGTGGAACTATTGTGTGGTGATTTTTTTTTTTAAGAACTGATTTTGTTTTTGAAGAATTGCTAGTGAACAGTGCTTTGGGAGCATTTCTCTGCCGATGATGTCTCTATTGACAGGATTCAGAGAGGATATTACATGTCTGAGTGTAAAAAAATTCGATCCTTCTCTTCCCCCCCAAGTCAACTTTCCTAAAATACTCTGGCAATATATTTGTGGTTTTAAAAAGACCATTATTAAAGCATTTGAATGTTTGCTTTAGTTTTCTAGTTTGTGATAGTATAGTTAATTGTTGATTTAAAAGTATTATGAAGTCGTCTGGATGTTTGCCTTAATTCTTGTGTGTGTGTGTGTGTGTGTGTGTGTGTGTGTGTGTGTGTGTGAGAGAGAGAGAGAGAGAGAGAGAGAGAGAGATACACTACAGACTACAGTCTACTTTTCCCCATATGTAAAAAGTGACTAGAAAGCCTTCAAAAGAAGAAAAATTTCTAAGTTACTATGGCAATGCCTACTTTTGTTGGTCTATTTTTTCCACTTAACTCAAACTCACATTTAATTTCTTATGCTAGCATTATTTGTTCTAGAAAACTCTTGGAGCAAAGTGCTTGTCACTTTGTATGTTATCAAGTCTATGACCTCACTGGGATTACTGTTTTTCATTTAAAACATCAAGTCCACTCAGTTCCAGGAATGGTCCCTGGGCTCAAGGTGAAATGAACATGGCATGGACTTCCTCCTCTCCCGAGTTACCTACAAGAAGGAGGATGGAGAGGAATGGGGTAGAAAGGCTGGGTAGGGATGGCTGCTAACATACACAATGCTCACAGTTTTGAAGAACATGCAAAGGATAAATTTGGAATTGAAGAAAATATACATTAACAAAGAAAAGGAAATTCCAGACAGTGCTTGAATCATGCTCCCTTAAAATGGGGACACTACAAAGCAGTTCTATAGATAACAAATTTTTGGCTTGTTTTAAAATATCTAGTGTTCAGATTTTTTATAATTCTGTATAAAATGAAAATCTAACAAGCTGAAATAATGAAAAAAAAAGCTAATCTAATGTTATTAACAACGAGTAGAAGTTAAGTAGATTATAATTCCCTATAAATTATAAATTTATAAATATATATATAAATATATAAATTATAAATATCCTTCTAGTGACACATTTAGTCACTTTTGAGAGATGTTCAAACATTTTTAGTATTTGACTGGCTGACTGAACTGTAGGCAAACTCCAACTTTTAAAGATCACTAACAGAAATATTAATAATCAAATTTTTATAACATTGAAGCTCAAAGCCATAAAATTTGGATTTGTTTCAAGAATAAATTGAACTTTGGGGGCTCCTGGGTGGCTCAGTTGGTTGAGTGTCTGACTCTTGATTTTGGCTCAGGTCATGATCTCCTGGTTTGTGAGATCAAGTCCCTTGTCAAGCTCTGCACTGATAGCACGGAGCCTGCTTGGGATTCTTTCTCTCCCATTCTCTCTGCTCCTTCCCCACTCATGCTCTCTCTCTCTTTCTCTCTCAAAATAAATAAATAAACATAAAAAAAGAATAAATTGAATTTTTACAAGGCCCAAATAATCAGTAACAGTTATCTGGTTTTTAAATGTTTATATATCTTTTAACTTATGTTCTAAATAGATGTTATAGAAAACAAATATCTCTAATACAGAATCATAGGACAATATTCTGTAAGGTATACTTTGAGAATATCATTCATAGAAGTAAATTTATTGAGACCTATTTATAACATAAAACTCCATTGTATGTGTGCAAACATTCTTAGAAAAACTACGTTAGCACTTTTACTTGACAAAACTCTTTTTTGGAATATGTACTTACGTGGCTATGTCTCTGGGTATGCTCTTGACAATTTGGGAAATCTTCATATAAAGAAGTGGGGAGAAATTTTTGTTTTACAAACAAATCTTATGAGCAATTCAGAAATAACTCACATTTTAAATATAATAAAGAAATGTGCACACTGTATCCTTTATATGTTAGAATGTTTAGCACTTTAAGCTTTCTTTAAAACGTATAGACACTATGGTACTTATAATTCTCTTATTGAATTTCAATTCAAAGTTTCAAGTAGCTTTTATTAAAATTGAGATGACAGATTACAGTCATCTATTTTATGGGCAGAAGTGGATTTAATGATTCTGTATGTCCTCTCTGTAAAACTTTAAATAAAGATGTGGTATTTAGGTAAGGCACAATCAAGTAACATCATCTTACCCATTAGTACCATCAGTGAGGTCTCTAAAATGTTTCAAATAAAATAATTCCAGAAGCATAGCTACTTCTAAAGGGAAAAAGAAATATTTTAATGTGTTTGAATATGTGTATTTGAGGATAAATGCTCTTTACTACATATGGAAAGCTGGTAACATCTTTATCACTTCATTTTGTTAAGTTTTTGAGAGCTTTCTAGAAATTCTAATAGCAGGTATGTTTACAGAAGTCAATGCATGCTAGGTAAATCTATTAAGAATATGTTATTTAAATCTTTGTTTTGGAATTGTGGGTTTTAAGACAGAACACTGTTGAAAGACAATGAGCTAAAATAATGACTATGCATGAACTTTACCATTATCAGGACACGGCATATATGTAACCAACATTTATCAAGCTCTTTTCAGGGAAATGTTCTTTGTAATATTTTCTTTGCAGGTATTTTCAAATGACCCCCAAAACCCAAGAAATAGTATGAAAAATATCTTCATTTTAGAGATGAAGGATTTCAAGCACAGAAAGGCTATGTTACTTGCCAAAGGTGAAGCTGTAAAAAATGGTGGGATTTGATTGCAAATCTGACTTCTCCTGAACTGATAGAAACAGGTACCTGAGAGAATGAAAGTAGGCTAAGATGGTGCCCCAAAGGAAGTTTATAGAAAAACAAAAAACAGTGTGGTCTTCATCCAA